AAAAAAAAAAAAAAAAAAAAAAAAAAGACCCTTAACTTAATCACATCTGCAAAATCCCCTTCTCAGCTGGGTGACGGGCAGGTGGCTTGTGCCTGTAATCTCAGCTACCTGGGAGGCTGAGGCAGGAGGATCATGTGAGCCCAGGAGTTTGGGAACAACGTGGGCAACATAGAAAGACTCTATCTCAAATAATAACAATAATAATAATGGCCAGGCACGGTGGCTCATGCCTGTAATCCCAGCACTTTGGGAGGCCAAGGGGGTGGATCACCTAAGGTCAGGAGTTCGAGACCAGCCTGACCAACATGAAGAAACCCCATTTCTACTAAAAATACAAAAATCAGCCAAGCCAGATGGCGGGTGCCTGTAATCCCAGCTACTCAGGAGGCTGAGGCAGGGGAATCGCTTGAACCAGAAGGCAGAGGTTGCAGTGAGCCGAGATCACGTCACTGCACTCTAGCCTGGGTGACAGAGCAAGACTGTCTCGAAAAAAAAAAAAAAAAAGGAAAAAGAAGAAAATGGAGAATCCAGGCTGGGCATGGTGGCTTATGCCTGTAATCCCAGCACTTTGGGAAGCCACGGCAGGTGGATTGCTTGAGCTTAGGAGTTGAAAACCAGCCTGGACAACATGGCAAAATGCTGTGTCTACAAAAAATTAAAATAATAATTAAAAAAAACCTACCCGGGCAGAGTGGCGATTCTGGAGGCTGAGGTGGGAAAATCGTTTGAGCCCGGGAGGTCCTAGTTGTAGTGAGCTAGGATCACGCCACTGCACTTCAGCCTGGGTGACAAAGCAAGATCCTGCCTCCAAATAAATAAATAAATAATAATAATAGGCCGGGTGTGGTGTCTCATGCCTGTAATCCCAGCACTTTGGGAGGCTGAGGCAGGCGGATCACCTGAGGTCGGGAGTTCGAGACCAGCCTTACCAACATGGAGAAACCCCGTCTCTACTAAAAATACAAAATTAGCCAGGTGTGGTGGCGCAGGCCTATAATCCCAGCTACTCAGGAGGCTGAGGCAAGAGAATTGCTTGAACCTGGGAGGCGGAGGTTGCAGTGAGTTGAGATCACGCCATTGCACTCCGGCCTGGGTGATGACAGTGAAACTGTCTCTAAAAAAAAAAAAATAATAATAATAATAATACTAGGCCGGGCACAGTGGCTCACGCCTGTAATCCCAGCACTTCGGAAGGCTGAAGCAGGTGGATCACGAGGCCAGGAGATCGAGACCATCCTGGCCAACATGGTGAAACCCTGTCTCTACTAAAAATACAAAAATTAGCTGGGCCTGATGGGGAGCACCTGTAGTCCCAGCTACTCGGGAGAATGAGGCAGGAGAATTGCTTGAACCTGGGAGGTGAAGGTTGAAGTGAGCTGAGATCACACCACTGCACTCCACCCTGGGAGACAGCTAGACTCAGTTTCAAATAATAATAATAGTAATAATAATAATAACAACAACAAAATGGGCATCTGGCTGAAGAAGTAACATTTGGACTCCGAGGGCAGGGGAGGCACCCACCGCCAGCTTAGCCTGACGTTCGCGTTCCTTCTCAGTTCTGAAGCGCTGTTGCTCGGCTCTCTCCGACCGGCGCCGCTCCTGGGGAACGGAGAAGAATAAGGGGGTGCAGGGACGTACCCCCAGTCATCCCTCCCTAGAGTAGGCGAAGCGTGGAGATAAACAGGCTGGAGTGTGGCCACCGACTTGGGTGAATTCCCGAAAGCCTCAGGCTCAGCTCTGTACTAGAAGGAAAACCATTATCCGCATCTCCCGAGATGCAAGGGATCCACGTGGAGAGAGGAAGGCTGGGGGGCACCCGGACTCTCGCTCACAATGCGCTCTTTCAAGGCAATCAGCTCCTCTTCCTCCTTCTTCCGCTGCTCAAAATGCACGTCGATGAGGGTCTGCAGCTCCAGCAGGTCCTTCTCCATGCGCTTGCGGTGGATGTCCTGCAGGACACACGGGGAGCCCGTCCTGGGAGACCCTGGAGAGGGCAGCGGCCTCCCAGCGCCTCCCCCATGCAAGACGGTGAACTGGACCGTTTCCCAGGTGGTGTCCAGCAGGTGGCAGCAATGCCTCGTGTTTGACACTAATCAGCTCTTCCAAAGACAGAGCTGCCCAAAGACAGGAGTGGGGAGTGGGGACCTTTTCTCCCAGGCTGCAGTGAAATGGCGCAATCTCGGCTCACCGCAACTTCCGCCTCCCGGGTTCAAGTGATTTTCCTGCCTCAGCCTCCCGAGTAGCTGGGATTACAGACGCCCACCACCACGCCCCGCTAATTTTTGTATTTGTAGTAGAGACGGGGTTTCACCATATTGACCAGGCTGGTCTCGAACTCCTGACCTCAACCTCCCAAAGTGCTGGGATTACAGGCGTGAGCCACTGCGCCCGGCCCGGCGCCTTTTCATGATTGGCACAAAAGCCCCTTGAAGACTAGGGACTGTGCCTGGGGAGAGGGGTCTCTGACACTTACATCGAAGTCAACACGCTCCCCTTCTGGGATCTTTGGCGGGATCAAAGGAGGCACCACGGGGCGGCTGGGTGGACAGAAACAGAGAGACCATGAGTGACCCGACCTCCCTGAGCCACCTCTCACCTCCGGGATGCACAGTCTGGTGAGGTAGCCGCCAGCCCCTTGAACGTGGAGGGCCCCAGCTGAGGCAGGCTGTCAGTGAAACGCACAGAATCATGTTTTATGCTGATTACATGTTGAAATGATTAAAATTTATGTAACAGATTTTTAAAACTGTGCTATGAAAATTAAATTTTCCTATGTTGTTGCTGTACCTTAAAAATATGCCTAGTAAGATTTTTTTTTTTTTTTTTTTTTTTTTTTTT